TGCCTAATTTAGGTATCAATAAAAATGATACTTCAAGATATCGAAAAAAAGTGATACTCCAAAGTTTTCGAATTAGTGATACCTCAAGTTTCATTTTTTGATTATAATTAGTGTTCACGTTTTTTGATACATGTTTGATAGTGATATCCCAAAGTTTTCGATATAGTGATATTCTAAAGTTTTCGATATAGTGTTATTCCAAAGTTTTCTATAGTATAGTGTTATCTCAAAGTTTGTTATTCCAAGGTTTTCTATAGTATTATCTCAAAGTTTTCGATATAATGATATTTTGAAATATATAAAAAGTAGATTTAGATATCAGTATAAGCCAGCTAAATACTGAAAAAGATGATATCCCAAGGTATAATTATTATAGAAAGACTCTACTATGTAGAGAAATTATGCTTTGGGATTACATATAAATAGGTATTAAAAAAGTGATACCCCAAGATATAATTATTACAAAAAGATATATAATATATAAAATTATGCTTTGGGGTATCAACAGATATGATAACAATATAGTAGGGATTATATACAAATAAGTATCGAAAAAAAGTGATATCCAAGATATAATTATTACAGAAAGATATATAATATATAAAATTATGCTTTGGGGTATCACTTTTTTTTCAATACCTATTCAGTACTTCATGCCTCATCATCAGATATTTTGGTGTATTAACCTAAATTGGGGAATACCAAAATGTGACGACAGACTTATAAACTAATCATTGACATATATGTAAACCCATTATCACTCGAATGACGCGTCACTCGAATGATAGAGCGAATACTAATATATCTGATGATGCAAGCATGAATTGTTCATTACTCAAATGATGACACAAGCTTAATAGAGATCAAAATAAGTAGCTATAAAATGAGTAGGTAACAATACACCCATAAGTGGATAACAATATATACCTATAAGTAGGTAACAACCTAATATAAGCAGGCAATAATATATATATACTATTGCCTGCTTGTGACTATATTAATAGCAAATTTGAAAAGTAAATAAATATTTTATATTAAATATTACAACTTTTATAATTTTTTTGCTATAATTCATATCTGACTACAGTAATAAACAAATGATATGTATTGATATTTTCTAATTAATTAATAGTATAATCTATATTAGTATTTTAATATAATAAAGATAGAAAAATAGATATAAACTTACTATAATATGATAAGCCAAGTCACAAAAAAACCTATTAGACTAGTTTGAAAATTCAGATCAGATTCAAACTAGTTTGAAAATTCAAACTAAACTCAGAGCTAAGCTACAAAAAACTCTATCAGACTAGATTTAAACTAGTTTGAAAATTCATACCAAACCCAAACCAAACTTATAATTGAGTTTGAGTTCAGTCTGAAGTTTAAAATTAGTAAAATTTAGAGTTTAAATTCAGTTTGATTCCAGAATAGACTTGAATTAGACTGAACTCAGACTAGACCTAGGAGCACTAGTTGAAATTTTCATTATCAGATATATCTATTTGTATCTTGAGTTCTAATAAATCAGAATCTCAATTATTACTTAACTCATCTTCTGAATTAGAAATGTAAGACAATAAGATAGAGAAAATAATTGTAGTAGTTACTTTTGTTTTTAAAAATTCTGAATTTTTATTTTTTTTCAAAAAATTTGCTAATCACTTTTTGAACTCAGTTCAGAGAATTCAGATTTTAGGGTGGGTTCTATCCTAATACTATAATCAAATAGTATATTATCTATAATATATTGAATATCTTTGTTTGTCATTTTTGAAATACTATCAGTAGAAAAGGAATGTATTTAATAAATTTTATCTATACCTATTGTACTAAAAGTTGTAAGCTTTTTAATCTTTTCGATTCTCTTTTATAAAAGTGTATCAGAAATATTTGCAATAAGCTAAGCATAAACTTCCTTATTTAAAATTCTACTAACTATATTAGATTCTAGATCAACTTGTTTTTCTAATACTAATTCATTACCTTTGAATAAGAGCTTTATCAAAATTACAATAATATAAGATTGCTTCTTATATTTTATAATTAGCAAGAATTATAGTATTACAAAATTTTTTGTATAAAAATGTGAAGCTATTATTGCTAAGTTGAGATTCTGTTTTATTTAGAGTTGTAGATATCATATCATTATCTGCATCACTATTACTAATAGATGAGTTAGAGTGTTTAGAAACTTCTGTTATGAATTTTTGTACTTTATTTTTATTAAATTGTAAAATATCTTTATTATATGATAAAGGATTTTAAGATTCAAGCTTCTTTTTTCTATTTTTCTCTCTTATTATTTTACTAACCTTTTCCTTTTCTTTTAGGTTTAGAAATTTATTGATCACTTTATCTTCTAAAGATTTGTTTTTTATACAAATTGGTGATATAGAGTATTAACATGAACTAACTTCTAGCTAAGTCTTTGTTTCTTGATATATATTAAAATTTGAAGTATCATCAATTATATCAAATGCAGAGATGTCTTTACAATTATGATTTGTTTTAGAAAGTATAAAAGAATGGTTATTCTTTACTTGATATATATAAGAATCAGATGTTCAATACTTTGCATTATCAGTATATCTATTGTCCTTGTTTTGCAAGTTCTGCTTCTTGATTAGTGAAACATCATGTTTTAGTTTAGTGATAAGGTTAGTTTTTTTCCTATCTTTTGCTTTAAATTCAAAAATCTAGCTTCAACCTTTTCTTTGTCTTGTTTTGATTTTGTATTTTCAACTTTGACTTTGATATTCTTAACTTTAAGCTCAGTATACTTCTTTCTAAGTTCACTAATCTTAACTGTAAGTTAGTATTTAATTTTTTTAGTGAAACAATTGTATATTATATATCTGTCATCGTTTTATATAAGATACAAACATATTCAATTCTTTATTATAAGGATATAAATCATGTGATGAAAATCTCTGAACTTATTTAGAAAGTGTATACTGCCAAAAAAATTCTTAATCATATATACCTAATGATATTAATGTATCCATATTAATCTTGGAAATACACTGGATCTTCTTTAGTATAGGTGGGCATATATAAATTATTACAAGATTATAATATATAAAACCCAACTAATTCGAGCTAATTTAAATTCTAACCTTAACCCTAACCCTAATAATTTATAAAATTACTTAAATTAGTTCAAAATAATTAATTTATA